TGCTGCCATTTTCATGGATTTACATGCGGGATGGCATCCATTTATCTGCTGCGGCTAAAGTTGGTCGCAATTGAATATGTGCTTTATTTTTGGAACTTGTCATTCTAGATGTACGAAACGTCTTTTCCGGTTCAAATTGTGCGCGGAATCGATCATGGATCCTATGATTCCGTTCCATGGTCATATCTACTATCTGAGCACTCGTGTTCACTATCTGCGATGCAACTACTGACAATTGATCCCGATGGACCCAACAAAGCATGAATAATTGGCCTGCACAGGGCGCTGGTTGCTGATCAGCTTTTTTCGATATTTCCTTCCCGATCCTGCCATTCCATGCAAGCTGATTTGAAAAACCCATCATCGTTCGACCCGTCCCAAAGTCGGTCCCTTGCATTATCAGCCCCAGTTAAGTATTTCTGAATATCACCCAAACCATATTTCATAAAATCAACGACGTTCCTGCCTAGGCACGATTAGGAGATGACTGGTATAAGACCGCGAGTGGGAAGACTGTACCAGGTGACTTTTCCTGCCGTCGGCTTTGCGCCTGTCCCTGGGCAGAGTGTCTTAACAGTAACGATTTCAACGTGTTCCAAATTTGGAGCATACTTTCAGTTTCCGCAGATTGAATGTCCCGGTACTTCACCGTGAGATCCTTATTTAGCCAAAGGATTCCATAAGAAAGAGAAGTCTAAGATGCGAAGAAAAGGAAGTAGTGAATGGATCGAGAATATTGTTTGCTTACCTGGAACCACAGAATCTGATTATCCTTGTTCATCGATTCATTTCGGCGCACCATGCCAGAATTGTGGCTGGAATTCAGTCCGCAGGCATGCAAAAAATCCCACAGGCGCCCAAACCCCCGATGGATGTTTTGACTGGACTCATCCTCGAGCCTCAACCCACGAAGTCGTCCTCGGTCGATCTCTAGCCTGTGAGGAGAGCCAACCATGTAATTTCTCAACCAAACACATGAAAGAATTGGATGTATCGCGTCATTAACCATCGTATCCGGGTGGGGCTGAATACTCAAAAGACGTCGCACTTGATCCAGCCTAGCGCCGGTCAGGGGATGGACTGGGCCCATTAAATCAAACCCGAAGAAAATCTTTAAGAGTGTGTCCTCTGTAAGCTGCTGAGATCCGATTGAACTGGGCTGATAGCAAGGCCTAGAATATTCGACAGGAAGATTCCTGGAAGCGCGTGTGATTTTCCTTGCCTTGGACTGATGTTGATATCTCCGCTCTGAATTTACGTACTTTCGAACTCTTCGATCATTGGAACGAACTAGGGACCGTTCTCGGTTGCTGTAAGCAGCGCTCAGCTGAGATCGCCGTTTGGCATGCCTGGAGGGAAGTAGTTTGGTAGACGGTTTCACGTTAAGCCGATGGCAATTCCCATCTTGTTCTATCTTCGCTCTCGGCCTAGACATTCCAATGTTCACTGGGTCTGGTAAACGGGCCGGGATTTGGCCTTTATCAGCCGTGTAATTAACTGCTAAGTAATTTGGAATTGTTTTTTGAGTAACGAAGGGTGGCTCGGAAGGAAGGGCTTGGGCCTCTTCAATGCCACCTTCCTCATCTGTGCACGCCAATCGGGGCTGCTGTTGAGTACTACAGGTGTAATATGGCTCCAGTGGAAGTGGCTTGTTTTTGGGATCTCGGTTGAGGTCTAGTTCTTCAGCCTGCTTGGTCCGCATCGGGGATCGAGAATACTCATGGGATGAGGCTGTTCTGTTCGAGAGAGATGGAGACCTGGAATTGAAATGGTTTACATGCTGGATTTCAGTGCTTATCGGTGTGCGGAGTGCATTATTGTTGAAATTGAGTGGCAACGGAGGAAGCGGTTTCCAGTCATACGTAACTAGCGTTGGCTGACGGCCTGCGGAATACCCTCGGGAGCCGTACCCCTCGGCTAGACTGTGCAGACATACCTCTGGATCAGCTGGCATCCGGCAGTTTGATTCCTGGAATGCCCATAGTTCGTCTGGTTTCGGCGATGATCTGGCATGCATAGATGATTTTGCGGCATTATCACTCTGCCAATTTGCCGCAAGGTCCAATGGTGGTCCTTTTACGTGAACAAGCAGCGCCCTTTTGACTAATCGCTTTGGTTGATCTAATTATAGGTCACCGGAATTAGGACATAGCTGACCTCCATTTCACACGGCGGGACCATTTTAGGGCTATATGTACCGCACGAGGACCGTGATTCAGCCTCTTACTGATAGATAGCCGGAGTGGACACTGAGGCGGTGATGTATTGTGGACGGTTTACCGATCAACATGTCCCCAATCATCCTATGTCACGATGTAATAATGCCCAACCGTTAGGAGGATCTATGTACACAAAAGCCCCATTCATCATCAGTATTCCGGGCTGTCCACCCATCAACCTTGCTGCCTCCGCCCTTATCTGACAGGCTGAAAGATAAAATAAAGGCAACTCCCACGTGAAGGCCGCTTCCCGGTTGCATTGGAGCAAAGAGCTGGACGGAATCGTCTGCCTGAAATCCATTTTTGACTTTATGAAAGATATTCTGTGGCGTTTTCTGGACAACGCTTTCTCATTTGATTCATCTGGCACCTATTAGGCTATTTGGCCTCTGGTCAGTTTCAGGATCCAGATAACTCCCCTTTCTGTACACATTGATGGACACAAGAAGATTTTGGCGCTGAGAAAATCGCAGAATGCTTGTTACAGCACCACTGTTCACAGCACTATACTGGGCGTTCAAGTATGGGAGGCTTTCCGTTAGGATGGATCTATTTTTATCGCTGCTCAACGCAGACCAAGGTAAATAGGCAGGGTATCTCGGCAATCTCATACCTCCAGGTAGTATGAGCCTAACTACGAAGAACTGAATGTCGGGGTTTCTTTGTATGAACACCCTTCACACCATTGGCTTTCTTCTATGGATCCTTAGCTATGCATACACTCCTCTCTATCTCAGAGTTGCCTATATGACACTCGTGATGATTTTGTTTTTAGCTACGTAGTGAAGGGAGAAGAGCGCGATGGCAATCTGACAGCGGAGACAGGTCGATAGGGGGCACATGGTGTTCGGCATGGGCAAAGGCGTGGGCAATGCAATCAACCTCTGTTCTGAGGTCATCGCGTATTTTGTAGAACTCGGGTGAACGATCTTCTCTGCTTGAAGCCAGGTGTCAAGAATACACTAGCTAGCGATCATCTGAGCGATGCACTGCTGACCCTGGACCGTGTACCGCACACAATTCTCCCACCACAGTAGCTAGCCTCTATGTATGTACATGCAGCGCTGCAACGGCAGATGTGGTCTGTCAATACTTTATCGGCCTACAAGATTTGCGGTGACGAAATTGTCAGACAGCCGTCAACTGAGACTTTCCAGAACATTTTGATACGCTTCCACACGGTCCGTTTTGTTGTAATTCAGAGGACGGTTGGTTACAATTCTCTTACTCCCAAATCCGTAGACAGGAAACTTGAAGATTGATATACAGCATGTATCCTCTGAATTGATTTCGAATCAATCCTGGTAGTCCCATAAGGTCTGCAATTGATTCCGTTATGTATGTCATATATCATAACACTTTTTACTCTAGCTATGGAAGCATACACAGCGTTTAGTTTCCACACAATGCTCGCGATCAATTGTAATTTGCTCCTCCCAGATAACAATTGAATAACCCTGGATGCCAAATAGACCAAGAGAAGGATCCACGCCTATCCGCCGGGGCTGGTTCCGGAGTAGGAGTTTCCTTGATAGCCATTTTAGCACCTCGGTAGTTTACTCCCTGATTATGGTATGTTCTTGTGCTTGGCGTACTAGCTACATTCCCGTATCAACAGTCACAGGAGAGCGGAATTGAGAGTCGCGGCAAGTTGGCATACAGCAGCGGCAGAATTCACAGTTGGGGAGGGGCACCTGCATACTATCGTGGTTCGGCCGGTCGAGTGCGTCCATTTGGAACATATATGGGGCTCCACATGCAGTCGCATCCCTCGATAGAGGATGAAGCATGGGCAGTGTCAATGAAAGGGGCCGGGGTCGTGAATGAAGTTTGGGAGTAATATCTGAACCGCAATATGCAGATTTGCGAGCGAGAGAAGGGCGACCAGTTACCCTGGTCATTCCGCGGACACGATTGCGTTCTGGCTTCGTGCAAATGCTGGTAACTGCCGGGGCTTCCATACTGTGCGTCGAGCTCACCGCGACGAGCTCCTGTCGATTGGCGGCAGGCCGATTGACTGCATGCTCTAATGGAGCTTTCGAGTCCGAGGTAGCCGTAGTTTGTATTTCAATCTTGAGTGCCGAAGACCTCTCGGTAATTGTCTCGGTGATCGACATTTGGAACTGTGAGGAAGAAACGGCGGGATAAAATATTATTGAAATACAGAGAGAAAAAGAAGGAAAAAAAAGACTGGCTTAGGGAAAGCATCTTCCCCACCAAACGTTTATATATCTAGAAAGATTCCAAGACTGTGCTTGAAGTGCCCCACAGCCTTAGCCGAGACGAAGGCGTCCATGCAGCAGACTCGGTATTGTATGCATTTCGCTAGCCGAATGGTGGGTGCAAGGCATTTGGGATCCTCTGCCAAACATCCATTAGAGAGTATCGAGAGCCAAAGGACGGACATGTTCGCAGAAACAGTCAGAACCTTAGAAACCAATGTAATAGAGTGAGAAGGATGTCTTCTCAGACTTGGTCTCGAACAATTGGTGAAAATCACAATTCTTTAACACAGGGGCGTGCGCTAGGAAAGCATATTCACGAACCTTCTACCCGGAGGACGTTGATCTGGATGCTTCCACGGGTTTTCACCTGCTCCCCCATAGATTCCACTCTCCGAAAGCTAGTGACCGGTCTTTGGTCAGCTCTTGATAGAAGTCTGGAGTCTCACTGACGCCATAAAGTAGAAAGTGGGATATTCGAAACGGAAGAAAAGGAAGAGACAGAAAAACCCAAAGAAAGGTTCAAACACCAGCATCTCGCATTGGTCACAGGCAGCCATCACTTTCGAGCTTCTGTTTCACGCATGGCAATATTATCATAACCGGTGACCATCAAAACCACATTCTTGCCGGGTCCAAGTTCCTTGGCGAGTTCAAGGGTCCTTTTCACTGCATGACTAGAATCCAAACCAGACTTGATTCCCTCCTGGTCGTTCAATAATCCGAACCCGTCGATTGCATCCTCATCGGTAGCCGTAAAAATTTCAATCCGCGCAGAATCTTTCCAGTTAGCCACCTCTGGGCCTACAGTCGACAGATTCATGTCCGGTGAAATCGAATGCGAGTCATTAATCTGACCCTCCTGGCTCTGAAGTAACAAGGTGCGAGCACCATGGAGCACCCCCTGCTCACCATCAGTGAGGGCCGCAGCTCGGACAGCTTCTACGCCCACCAAACGAACCGACCGGTCCTGCAAAAACGGCCTAAATAGCCCCACCGCACCGGTTCCACTGCCGATGGCGGTGACAAGTGCGTCCGGATGTGCACCTTCAGCGTCCATTTGCAGCGCGACCTCCTCGCCCAGGAGGGATTGAAAGGTGCGGGTGACAGTGGGCAGGGGACTTGGCCCCACCGGGCTACCCATGAGGTAGTAGGCCGACTCATGATGGCAGACGGAATAGCGCAGAGCCTCGGTGATGGCTGCGCGTAAACTACCCATGCCGGAGGGCGTGCGAGTGGTCAAGACCCTAGCCCCGAGCGATTTCATCTTGCCGACGTCGTCGCGCTGAGCATTGGCATCATCCGTACCCATGACGATGACGCAGCGCAAGCCGAGGCGGCCACACATCGCAGCGGTGAAGGAGCCGTGTTTTGCGGAGGCGCAATCGGTGACAATTTCCTGGCGGCCCATGCGTCTGGCGAGGAGGAGCTGGCCGGTGATGTTGCGGACTTTATGGGAGCCGTAATAATTTTCGTCTTCACGCTTCAGCCAGATGGTAGCACCGTTTGCCAGTGATGTTAGGTTTGGAGCTATGTGAAGTGAGGTCGGGGCATTCTGGAACGTGGCATATTCAGACCAGAACGCGGGGTCAGAGACTGTGTCCTCGAAAAATGATGTCAGTTCGTAAAGGAATCCCATAATAGATTCCGGGGCGAACCGGCCGCCAAATGAGCCATAACCATCGAACGCCAGCTGCGGAGCTCGCAGACTACCATCCACTTGCAAGATGGGAATGTACGGTGTGGTGGTATCTAGCCGTGCGGGCTTGGCGGTCGTCTTGAGGTCCAACGAATGGTTGTCAGTGACGATTGAGAATGTTGTGGCCTCTGTCTTGCTGTCGTCGCGTGATGGGGTTGTTGATTCGGTGGGATCACTGTAGTCGGAACCCGTAAGGGAGCCAGGAGTCTTGCGTTGAACGCGAACGCGTTTTTGTTTCTGTGCTCGACTGTCAATGGATGCAGTGCTTGGCTGGGGGGTTGAGCTGTCGGGGGATCTTGGTTGAACTGCATCTGCCATTACAGCTTCCTCTGCAGCCTCATATCCATGTCGCTTGGGTTTTGGGGACAGAAAGCAAACCATGTGGCGTAACGAGTCCAGCCAGCGCAGCATGGCGTGCTTCATCATTTGTTCTTCTAATATCTTAAATAGGGTGACAAAGAGCAAAGACTCTACCCTCCTGTCGTGTGAATGGATTTGAAAGTTTGGGTATAAGAATGCTCCACGTGCGTTAGAGAATGTGGTATTTGCATGGGGGAATGCGATGTATTAAGTACGCCATGGTTCTGCCTTTCAGAAAGCCACCCGAAGAGGTTCCAAGTCCTATGTTGAGTGGTCTGCTCATCATGTGTCGGATCTGCTTGGTCAGCGGACCCTGTATGAGATGACAGGGCTTGTTTGATAGAGTAGATAGAGGCTCCTTTCTCTCTCTCTCTCTCTCTCCCTTCTTTTCCCCGTCCTTTTCGATGAGAGACACCGTCATTCTTCTTCCTGTAGACGTATTCTATCATCATGTTCCCGTGAAAAGGGCCACAGACCACCGCGTAAAATTTCCGAAACTGTTCATGTTTTGATGGCACATGGTGGTATCATGAACTTCCTCGGCAAGATGTTTTGTAGCATGATGGAGATCTAATCAATATGTAGGAGATCCAAATATACGTGAGAATAACTGAGGTTCCAAGGTTTCCAAGGTCCACGGGTTATGCTAGCGCTGACTAAGCAACCATATCTATCCATGGATAGGTAACCTTGAACATGAGTAAAGACCCTATCGCGATCGAAGGTTGACTCAGTAGAGCACGGGTGGCTATGAGATCAGAGGCAAATAGACCGGCAATCCAAAAGCTGATCGAGGAATGTCCTATATTTGTACACATGCTGTGTCCCAAGCAGCCCGTCAAGCAGTATTCGTGGTTTCGTGGTTTCTACATTCTTTCATACAGATCAAAACAAAATGCGCAGTTATCAATCACTTTCTACGACTTCTATTCCCAATATTGGAACTCCGCAAGTCTACAGTGTTATAATCCGGGCGTTAATAGTGGGAATGAAGAAGCTTTTTTTTTTGCTGATAGGCCATTTTCTGCAGGTCCAACTCGATCTTCAGACAATCTATTCGGCGCACACAGTCTCAGTTAAGCCGAAGCCGACAGAGTACAGTATACGCGACGCGGCAGTTTTTTCCGTATCAATACGCAGATCGGTGGGCCTCAGAGACCTGGCTATACTGACATTCAAGACCCCTGTTTATGTTTCTTGCGGTGCACGTTGGTGGACTTGCGAAGACTGTCTTGTATTTTAGCACTATTGGATTTTTCTGTCCAATGGGTAGATCATGATGGTAAAGAGGAGCTGGGATTTGGCCGAATGACGATGAGGATCTTGGTGCACACATAGACTGAGTCTAGAACACGCCCATGGATTGTTACGAGCGGCTAGCAAAATGATTTTGCAATATATGATCATATCTAATTGAGACTTGCGTCACATCAAGTATCTCAGTGGAACAGCAAGGTGATGTGCTTTTCTCCGAGCTTACGCCACACGAGCGAGCGGCAAAACCAAATTCAGCAAGTATTTAGACGCCGCTGATCCCCGGGATAGCAGAGTGGTTCTCACTCCGTCAATCTCCTCTGTGTCAATTTGGACACCTCCTGTGTCTAGAAAATCACATCAAAGGCCCATACTTGATGAAAAAGTATTTCAAAATGATACTTCCCGAAGAATGTCCCAAGATGCAGCGCGAGCATCCTAAAGCCGAGACAGCGTCAACACCCACCAGTGCGGCGAGTACCACCCCAAGCACCGTGACTAGTGAAAAGGCTCTAGTCTGCTCGATCCCAGCAGGAGACACCAGCAGCCCTGATTGTACGAGCACAGTATATAGCGCTCGCCGCTGGGCCCTCGGGTATAAGGTTGCAGTATCCCTGGGCGCCATCGCGTGTTTCCTGGTAGTGTAGGTTCTGTCCTTTTCTTTTTTTCATGCCTTGTGCCTGGTCCATATCACTTACGAAAAGCACTAGCACACTGGCGACCTCAATCTATATTGCAAGCATTCCTGGCATCATGGCCCAGTTTCAAGTTGGACGGACATTGGCGATCCTGCCGGTCACACTTTATGCCCTGGGATTTGCGGTCGGCCCCATGTGCACATCTGCACTTTCCGAGGAGTTGGGAAGACAATATGTCTATAAGGTCTCTCTTTTGCTTCATTTCGCGTTTACCCTAGGAGGGGGGTTTGCGCAGAATTATCGCACTGTCGCTGTATGCCGCGCACTGTCGGGTGTCGCTGGATCTCCCTCAGTTAGTGTGTTTGCAGGGGTTTTGAACGACTTGTGGAAAATGCCTGGAGACAGACTGGGGGTCCCTCTATTCGTGTTGTACGGCCTTGGCGCCGCCGCAGCCCCGGAGATTGGCCCGGTGATAGGAGAGGCCGTTGTCGCTGCCTATGGCTGGCGATCGTCGTTTTGGTTAACGGCCATTCTCGTTGGGGCGTGTTTTCTCGGCATGATGTTTGTTCCGGAAACGTTCGAGCCCGAGATCCTTCGAAGACAGCTCCAGCTTCCTCGCCGCGACCCACGCGAAGCGCTGGGACAGGCGTTCTTGCGCCCAATGCAACTACTCTGGGCCGAACCCATAGTTCTTCCGACCGCCATCATTGTCACCATGAGCCAGATTGTTATTTTCATTCTCTATGCAGCTTTCCCGGTCGTGCTGCAGCGGACCTATCAATTCACCCCGTACCAAGTGGGATTGGCATTCCTGCCCTTCTTGGTTGGAACATTGCTCGCTGCCCCAATCCTGTTCATGGTAGACAGGCGTAAGCGCGCCTTGGATCGACCCGTCCCCGAAGACAACCTTCCTGGGGCTATGCTAGCAGCACTGTTACTGCCGATCAGCCTTCTATGGTATGTGGACAAAGGAACCTCTCCGTCGCGCTTTCAATGCTTACACAAGATCCCCAGGCTGGGCTGGACCACTCGTTCTGCGATCCATTGGGCTTGTCCCCTTCTTGCAGGTATCCCGTACGGACTCGGGTTTGCCTTGTCCCAGGTGAGTCATATGCCTTCCATGGAGATCTTATGGCTGCTAATCGTGACTATGTATTGCAGCTTTCCTATCCGTTGTACAAGAACGAAGTCTACGGGGCCGAGCTCGGAGCCTCCGCATTGGCCGTTGATGTTGCGATGCGGTACCTCTTCTCTTCCTTTTTCCCGTTGTTTACCAACAATCTCATCGACGGTATTGGATTTGATTGGACAATGACGGCTTGTGCTATCTTGATGATCCTGCTCGCCCCGGTTCCGTGCTTGCTGTGGAGGTTTGGCCCTGGTTTGCGGAACCGAAGCAAATATGCCCAAGGGTTGTCCCCCGTGGTGCGAGAGGATGGGCAATCGCGGCGATATCGCGATGGCCCGGCCATTCAGTCCGCTCCTAATCCGCTGGTCTAGAGCTAGATACCAAGTGACTAGTATCATGCGTCGCCAAGAAATACAAGCACAGCAAGCCAACGGTGTGTACAAACTCCGGGGTTCTTCTCCCCCGTGAAGCACATTTGTGGCCAGGCACGTGCGATGACTCAAAGAAGAAACAGTAAATTGTGTAGCAAGGAAGGAGCTAAGAGATAGCAGCACGGAGGCATTTCAACGGGTGCCATCCAGGGCTTTGCCAAGCCGAGCAAGGTCGTCAATACTGCATCTCTGTTATGTAATAGAAATCTGTATGGGATCCAAAACGGTGTTATCAAACTCTTGAACTAAAAACCATGAGCCCGGCAATTTTGTAGAACGTGCTGACAACAGAGTAATAAGCACTTTTTTGCGAGGTATCTGATAATGCTCCAAAAGAATTCGTCTGTTTCGGCCCCACATCTCGCAGATTTACATATAACCATAGCAACCAACTGAAAACTCCTCTTTCGCAACAACCATGGCCCAATTGCTTCCTTTTTAAATAAAAAACGTAGGCCAAAAGCAGGCCTTTCCCCTCAGTAGCGAAGTGCTATAATTGAAGCACTGAAGGCAGGTCAAAAAGCGCCCCAACTTACCAAGCAATTCGGTTATACTCCCAGCAGGATTCGGTACACTTTCAAGCCGTTCCAACAACATTCCACGCTCGAATCCCTCCCTAAAGGCAGTTGACCCCCCGCCTCGACGACCGGGCTATGCGCTCGGTTTATCCCATGGCCCGTAACAATCCCCATTGGACCTACAAAGAGCCCCGCGCGAACCACAACCTTTGACCCTCCCGAAGCATGGTACGCCGTAGATTCTTTGATGATATTCTGAAGATTCCAGTTTGAAACCGACTGGCAATTGAACTTTTAAACCCGCCCGAAAATGGCGTTGTGAGCGCGATTGCCGCAGTTGGATCCCTTCCGATGAATGCTCCGTTCAAAGAACATCGAATTCCGACATCAAATGGTCATGGAGATTCAGATCTGAAGCCTATCAGCGACAAGTCATCGACTCCGCTGTCCATGTCAAAGATCGTTCCTAGATGGTATGGGCTTCTATATGGATTGGTGGTTGTTCATACTTGGTGATTATAGAACGGGATCCTCCATCGCGAAGGAACGGGTTTACCACAAATTCATACATTGCGGCTCTCGACCAAGCATTGGTTCCAAACTATGAGCCTGGAACTATTTTTCAACAGGATAATGCTTCCATACATAAGTCCGACGCCGCAAAAAAGTGGTTTGAATACCATGGGATCCATATCGCACATTGGCCTGCACGCTCCTCTGATTTAAACCTGATTGAACCGGTTTGGTGGCCTCTAAAGTGCGCCCTGAGAAATCGGCATCCCGAATTACGGGGTGTGCTCATGGGTCAAAGCGAGGTAGCCTGGGTGTATTTTGAACGCTGTATATATAGTTGTTGGTGGTCGATTCCGCAGGAGAAAATTGACGGATTAATCATATCAATGCAGTGGAGATTGCTTGCCGTGCGCAAAGCTAAGCCTTACTTAAGTATTATACCGAATATTAGCACAATATATCATGTTTTATTTGTTTCAGGATATATAGGGTGTATATATATATATATATATATGTAGTGAAGAATGTAGATGTGGATAATCGTACTGGGTCTACAGGTGGGGCAAAATTTGGGCGGAGACGAGTTCTTTTGGACTCTGATGGTACTTAAGATATTTTGGGTAAATACCCAGAAATCCACATACAGATCTACCATATTTCTCACATTATGAATCAAGTTTCATGACAATACTTTGTCCTTTCCAGATCCAATTCCAATGCACTTCTTGATCCCATACGCCGACAATCGAAAGTCACAGCGCCGCAATGACAGCACAGCGCAAGAATGCGCACACTAAGTAAAGGAATGTTATCTCTTGATCACCGGTAGTAAGTTACCCCCTACCTCGTTCTTAGGAAAGCTTATCTTGTGATAGTTTACTTTTGTAAATCCAAGTCTTGGTTTTGAGAGGGACAGGAATCATCTCTTACAGTGGAAGCAAGGCTGGGAATATTCATAACTTCTAAGTTGCGTCTCTAGATAATGGAATATGGCAGGGCAGGGAGTGTCCTTGGTTTGAAATAATTATTAAGTGGCCAGATCAATATAGGAAATAAGTATCGCTTAACAGCCCAGCAAACGTTCCTGTTATTTACTAGCTTGGTCATTTACAATACAATGTTTAGCTATTGTGTTCTTTTCCACTATAATGAGCCATATGCGAGTCAAATGTGAGGCCCACTGTATGCCCGATAAGATAAAAAAACTAGCATTGTAAAGTGATATCCTTGAAAACGTCGGATAAAGAACCAAAGTTGCAGGAGAACAATAGCGAGCAGGCTCTGCTGGAAACCAAAATAAATAGATGTCCGTCTTTTGGTAATTGCCTAGGATGTTTTGGGGCCGGCTCCTCGTTAAATTCAAAGATAGCTAAGTCCTCGTTCAGTAGAAATTTCAGCCAGTGATAGATGCCGCTGTCAGGCGCATTGAATATTATATGAGTGATGTCTATAGTACTATAGTTGTGGTAGCGGAAGCAAGTTTTTAAACATAGCCCCTTCCAACTTGTCAATATCATCCAACAGCTCAACCCCAAGCTTCTGGCTCACGATCTGTATATTTCCCTTCTCCCAGTAACCCTTAGGACAGACAGCAATGACCTTCCCCGACCAAGAGCCCAAACTCAAATAGATTAACCGTCGCCTGCGTAGATGGGTGGAAGTACACGACCATCAGATCCGCCTTTGCCTGCTTGTCGAGCTCCCACAGGACCTGCTCGCGATATGGCGCAAATCCAACGTCCTCACGCCACGTGCTGACCCAACCTACGTGTTAAGGGTTGCAAATAGTGATGGGATGTCTAGAGAGGGAAGGCGAGAGTGTTTCGCGCCAACCGGCGGTATCGACTTTGTTGGTGGTGTCTGGGGAGGCTACTCTACTCTCCCGCCAAGCCTCTTTCTCATTGGTCGTAGTTGGATCCCACGTCACGTTTTTTTCTTCTCGTGTCAGCTTTCCCTTATTATCTTTGCTTGTTCATCATCCTTGTATGTTATGCCGTATGTCCTTTCTGTCCGATATTGCAACAATCTGCCTATGCCAGTGCCGCTTCATCGACATTCTGGCTGTCTGCTGCTCTATTCTTGCTACTTGCCTGCCATTCCGCCTCGCCTACGTAGCTGTAATGTGGGACGCTGGCCAGATCACTACGATACTTCTGTTCGTAACTATACCATGTGTTTGGAGGCGGATATTCCCATACATGTCCAACAACCCAGCTATGGCGAAGCTCTGCTTTCAGCATTGACTCAAACTCACACTTGTGCCATCGTCGTATCAGTTGTAGCCTTCCATGGAGACTTTTGGTACTTGGCTTCTCTAGACAGATATGGTCTCGCGCCATTCGGACTGTCAGCTCCTTCAACTCACTCATAAACGCGCACATGGGATTATGAAATATGATGCGTATAACTTGCGACGATAGGACCTTCCAATGTTTGTACGAAAATTTGACGAAATGGCGTCGTGCCCGCGTCAGTAATGGAAGGTCTCCCCGCCTCACTCCATAACAGTATGTTTTGACATCTAGCTCAACCTGTCGGTGCAAACTGCATGAAGAGGCACCGGGAAAGCAGAATCGGGAAGTCTTGTATTTGCTATACAATCTGGCGTACCCAGGGGAAATTCCCTCGCTGCCACTGCGATGGTCTCGGTTCCGGCGACGTCTATCCACACAAATCGCCATTTCCCTGCAGACTACCACCCTGGGGTCTTTATTTATGTGATCCAGGAATGCCCCAAAATGACTGTTTTCTCGCTGAAGCAGGTTTGCAATATGCAATATGTCGTCTTATTCGTCTTTCCGATTACTCTACTGGCGTATGTGTCCACCCTTGATGCGATGTAGAGGTTTTTGTCTATCTTTTCAACCATCAATCTCACGAATACATTCTCAGCTGTTCAATTTTGGCACTGACTCTCAAAGATGTTAGGTTGGTGTCAATATCACATCACTCGGGTTTCCAGCGAAATTCTTGGAGCTTCAATACATATCTCCACAGGTGGCAGAACACGGTTCAAATTTGAAACTTATGCTGGCAGCTTATTGCAATTACCGGCTATAGAAAGATCTGACTCGTATAGTGTAAATGGTCATTGCACCATACGGTGGTGTTTGTACGGCATAAGAGATGAGATGGCTCAACAGGTTTAAAAACTACAATTGCATTATCAATGGCGGAGAAACTGAAAACCAAAAAAGGACGAAGCCCGAGAATGAGGACTGTTTGCTGGTGGGGATCCGAGCCCCGAAAACGCCGACCAGATACCAATACATACAGCTACAGTCTACTGAGCTGGATGCGCTTCAAAAAGTGCATCCGCCTCATGAAGCTGGGCTTGCGTCGCTTAAACGTCTCTTCATTTCTTTCGTGCAACCCCAGTTATTGAGCGCTTCAAGTTAGGAGTCCCAGCTGATTGATCGACCGACTTTTGACAAGGTTCGCAAAATGGATTAGAGTGAATACATCAATCAGATAGCGTAACGAGCCACAAGCTCGGGATTTCAGCACCAGCCAATTTTTCGTCGTGCACACTTTTTTGCTTTGTACCCGGTGACAGATTTGGGGGATTTTTTTATCTAACTCCATCTGTGCCCGCCCATGCTCCCATCTCGAACCGCCTTGCAATGGCGGCAGCATACTGTTTGGTATTCTCAACGTGTACAGCATCGTCCCGCTTGAGACGATATATGCCAAATAGATTATTCGCCCCAGTCTCCGAAAAATATGGTTCAACAATTGGCTCGACATGTTTGTAGGTCCTTCCATCCAAGCAAGGTGCGGCCAAATGTTTCCGCAATGCTTCCATGGCAGGATCCCCGACAACGTATTTCGTAAAACACCATTATACACCAATGATCCAGTAGATTGAAACTAGCCGCCCACTACCCGAAAGGAGCTCTTTTCTTTCAA